AAGAGCGGTGTCACCCGTCACCCTTTCACTCGGCTTATTTGGAGGTCAGACACCACCCACAGCCACTGGCCTTGCCCCACACTCTGAGGTCCAGGACCTCCCTCTCTGGACCTGCTGTGACCACAGCACATGGCTGGTAACTCTGACTCCAGTCCTGCAGCCCCCTCAGGTGGGGCTCCTAATCTCGACCTCCATGGCCTTGCTGGTCCTCCTCCAGCAGGTCAAAAACCTGAAACCATCTTATCTTTCAAACCCATCAGTTCTACCTCAGAAGTCTCTCCGAAGTCCTTTGGCGAGTCCATTACCACCGGCCACCCGCCTGCTTCCCCCATGGCCTCCCCAGCATCCCAGGAGTCCTGGGATGCAGATTAGACCCCACCTCGATGATATACAATCTCCTTGCTTCCCCTGCAGCCCTGCTGCCCAGCCTCTATTCCAGCCACATGGGCCCTAAGTCCATTCCTGGCCCTGGTTACAAGATGAAACTGAGGCCCAAATACTGGTAGCCCCTTGCCATAGTCACACAGGGCACCTAGCAGGCAAGGACTGAAGGGGGCAGGCTGATGGGCTGCTCCCAGCAGCTGCCTCAAAGTGGGGACAGTGGTGGCCTTCCCACCCCGGCACCTGACTGGCCAAGGGCCTTTGCTTGAAATCGGGGGTACTGACGGGAGCATACCTCCTCTATGGGTTAAGTAAGGGCACGAGGGTCCTTAATTAGTACAGCCTGCAGAAAAGAGAGGTTAAGGGCTGCCAGGGCCTCCCAGCCAGCAGGGAGAGCTGGGATGAGGGCCACCTCAAAGCCCCCTGCCGGCCCAGGTCCAGTGGGCCCTTGTGTCCCCAATACTCTGATCAGCCCCTTGGGGGCCTGAGCTCAGCAGGGGCCGGCACTGGGACATCTGCTTTTCCCACACCTGGGTGGTAGATGCTCCCGCACCTCCTGGGTTCTAAGATGCCCACTCTTCACACTTCAGCACTGAAACGGGTTGGACTGAGCAGTGGCACGCCTCAGCAGCTGGCCTCATCTTTCTTTCTGAGGGGTGCACAAAATACGGCTGGGACCACAGATCTGGCTGCTGCTCTGGCTCCGGATCAGAGAAGGTGAAGGGAGCCTTCCTGGCTCCTTCCTCCTAATCCGGGTCCACCTGGCCATGGTGATGGACACACTCAGCCAGAAGGAACCTCTGGGGCCCGGGAGCCATGGCACCAGCCTCAAGGGACTGCAAGCTAGGGCTCAAAGACCCCACACCCCGTACAGAGCCACCTCCTAACAGCACTAGACATGAGGGGGTGGGGCCATGGGGCAGAAACAACCTGGCATTAGCATGGGCCACCGTGGGGACGCCCTGCACGCACACACAGAGTGGCTCTCAGTCTCACTGGCAAAGATCTGGGTTGAGCAGCCCGGTACGCAGAGTACACCTGGCTGATGGTTTGGCCTTGCCAGCCCAGGTGGCAGAGTGCATGGAACAGCTTAGCATTTTCCCACCCAGAGTCCCAGACACTTCCCTTGGGCAATCACCTCTGTTTTCTCACCCAGTCCCTCTTAAAAAATTCCTGAGAGTGGTGGTCTGGGCAGAAATGATTATAGGGGGAAACACTCCCTCTGCTTGGTCAGCCATCCCCCAATTCACCCAGCACCCCAGACTGCCAACGGGAGATGCCCCCTGGGGGGCGGACCCTGGGCGTGGATAAGGAGGCTGGGTCAGGACGAGGGAGGCCCAGGCTGGGGGCCTTGTCCACGGAGGTGAGCACACCTTGAAGCAGGCTGAAACCCGCCCAGAGAGAGGAGGTGGCAGAGACGCAGAGCCAGAGCTGTGTGGCGGGAGGGAGGAGGCAGCGCTGACCACGAGATTGGTGAGGTGCAAAGATGCATGCTGGGCCAGGAAAGCCTTTCTGAAGGGAGATGAGAGTGAGTGCCCCAATTCTGCTTAAGCTTTGGAGAGAGCCGGCAGCTACCAGAGGATCAGAGGAAACCACAGCCGGGTCCTTCCCGAGGCCCGGCCCACATAGCTGCTGAGCGGGGAAAAGCCAATTCTTGCCAAACAAAAAGATCAGGATGGTTCCAAAAGAAGCCCTCCTTGGACCGCCCACAGGCAGGGCCGGCCTCTCAGGGGCGGCTTTGCTTTGGTTTGGTTGTTTCCTGACATCTCAGACCCACACGGGGAAGTGCCGGAAGGACCCAGCTCTTTCTGGCTGAGACTGCAAGAACCCACCCCCGTTTCTCCCCGAGTCCTCGCTCCCCTGTGCCCTGTCCCATGCCTACCTGTCACCTGAGTGCCTCCTGGGCCCAGCAGGCCAGAGGGCCTCGCCCTAGTGGCTGGGCTTTCTGAGGCTCCACTCCCTCTTGGGCTCTGCAGACCGAAGCCCAGGCATCTCAGAGGGAGAGAGCCACTTGCTTTTATCCAGTAGGCCAGCATGTCACTCAAGGGACCCTAATTAGAATAAATCCAGGATGTGTGCCCATGGCAACCTGCTTCGTTCCAAGAGGATCCATGTGAATCCCACTCTCTGAGGCCGCTGCAGCCCACAGCTGTCCGTACTGGCGCTCAAGGCCAAGGCTTCCGAAACCTCCATCGGACTAGCTCAGCTCCAGAAGCGGCTGCTGCGAAAACCATCTCACACCTTTCCTACTGTAAACATGTAAATTCAGCTGCTTCATGAGCTGCTTCTCCTTCACCCACAGGAGGCTTCTAGGTCTTTCTTTCACCCGTCAGGCTTCCATTCCATGATGATAAACAAACGTGACTGGCAGCTGTATCTGCGTGACCTCGGCCTCTCTTATCCACCCAGGACAGCACTGGGCTCCTCTCTGCAAAGGGCACTTCCTGTGCGGGTGCAGGGCCATGTGCCTCTGGCCATGATGGCCTGGGAGGCCAGAGGACAAACAGTCCTCACCTTTAGACAGAGACAGGCTCAGAGAGAGGCAGGGTCTGCAGGGCCCCTGTTTCTGAGGGAGGTCCTTCCACTGCCCGAGTGCAGCCCTCCTCCCTGCCCTGCGGGACAGCTCCCCATGCTCTGCTCCTTTCCCTAGAGGCCCCATCTCTTCAGGGACCACAGGGCCTTGAGGGCGGCCTGCCCCCTGCTTTCCAAATGTCCCCAGTGGGAGTCCTGCTTAAGGATTTTTTCCAGGGTCCAGCGGCCACCTCCCGGGTTCTAGACTCTCTCTGAAGTGTGTTCCCCTGCACAGAGCTGGCGGCCATGCTTCAGGAATGCAGGCGCCCTGGAGCTCCTCAGGCCCCCTCCTGCAAGGCCAGCCCCTTGGCCCGTGGTCACGCCCTGAGGGCGGTCAAATTGTGCCCACAGCAGTGCTCCTGTGCAAAAGAGCTGGTTCCTTCCCAGCATGCTGTCCTCGACCTCACCAACCTTCCTACTAAACTGAACAGGGGGGGCCGGTCGTAAAACGGGTCCCGGCCGTGGCACAGCGTGTGCTCCAGAAAGACGTCGTCCTCCAGGTCCTCCTCCTCCTCCTCCGCCTCCTCCTCCTCCTCCTCCTCCTCCCCCAGGCTCTGCTCCTCCGCAGGCTCGGTGGTGTCGGAGTCGGGGCTCGAGGAGGTGGGGGAGGGGGTGAGAGCAGCCATGCGCGCGCTCATGCACGTGTTGAGAAGAGGGTAGCTGCTGCAGCCAGAGATGACTGAACTGAGGTTAGTAGGACAAGACAGAGAGAAGTTAACACCACCCTCGCGCAGGGCACACAGGGGCAGGGGCTTCCAGTTACACCCAAACCAAACACACAGACCACCAAGAACTGCCTTCAAAGGCGAGGACCAAAAGGGCACCCCGTCCCAGGCTCAGAAGGAAACTGCACGTGTGGTCAGTGGACGGTTCCGGAAGGCCCTGGAAGCACTGGCGGAGTGATCCTGCCGTGGTATGGCTGAGGTCACGTGAAGACCTCATGTGCTTGGCCATCTGGAGGCCTCTGAACACCACGCCCGTCCCGCAGGGCGAGGGGCTGGGCACAGACCCAGGCCAGGAGCCCAGGGCCAGGAGGCCTGGGACTGAGGCTCTGGGTGGCCTTGTGTCCCCACTCCCACCACAGCCACAAGGTGACCTGGGGAGTCAGACTCAGCCTCACACACTCACATACACAGACCTGGGTGACTTGGTGGCCACGCCTCACAGTGGGTGTGGGGACAATGCTGGGAGCCCTCCATGGTCCCTAAATAACAGGGGTCAGACCAGGAAGGACCAGGGCGGAGAAGTCAGGACGGGAGCAGGGCCAGTCAGGGTCCTGCCTTGGGAGGCTCCCGCCCCCCTGCCCTCTCTTCTCTTTCAATCTCAATCTCTCTTTTTCTCAATCTCTCTCTCTCTTTCACTCTCTCTTTCAATCTCTCTCACTCTCTTTCTTTCTCTTTCTCTCACTCTCTCTCTCGCTCTGTCTCAGCCCAGGGAGGGAGGTGCCCACCTGCCCACCAGCCGGAACCAGGGGAACCGGTCGTAGAAGGGGTCTCCGCCAGTCACCACGTTGTCACAGTCCTCGATGACGCTGGAGGGCACCTCGGCTGCCCGGTCATACATCTCCCGCATCAGGTCTAGGCGCTGCCTGCAAGGGTGTAGAGGTCAGTGTGGGAGCAATGGGGTCGGCACTGCCTTGCACACCCTCTCCCACCTCACACCCTCTTTCCATCAAGAAGGGCCTAGGAAGGGCCAGTCCATGCTCGCCTCCTCTGGGACTCAGCTCTGGCTACAGCGTCCCGCTCAGGGTTGTCTGAGGCTCAAGCTGCTTTCCTGACAGCCCTCTAGGTCCTCAAAATCGGTCACTGAGCAAAGGACTTCCAGGTAAACAGACAAGGTCACTAACTCCTCCCAACTCTGGCCAGGTAGCAGCAAGGTGGGGCAAGCAGGCAGGATAGCTGGAAACCAGCAACAGGGAGGTAACCCTTAGCAGGGGCAGAAAAGTGGGGAGAGAACCCCGAGGGGAGCTGGCATGGGGACCTCAGGATGCTCCAGGAATAAAGGGCAAATTGGTGATAGGATATAGAAAATGGTAAACAATTACTACCCCCAGGAAACCCACAAGTTGAGGAAGAAAGAAAATGCAATCATTTCCCTCCAGCACTCAGGTGTAACATGAATGAATGAAGGGTGAACATTTATCCAAACATCAGCCTGCAGCCCTGGGAGGTGAGGAGGGCTGTGAGTGCGAGTGTGTGTGCCTGGGCAGGGGCAGGAATTACTGTGTGTGTGTGTGTGTGTGTGTGTGTGTGTGTGAATGAGCCATACAAGAAAGGTAAGAGTCTATGAGTGTGCAGTGTGTGCTATGTTAATTACATTTTACTAGAGGCCTGGTGCATGAAATTCATGCACAGGTAGGGTCCCTCAGCCTGGCTGGTGATCAGGGCCTAACTGTGGGGTGACTGGCAGGGCGATTGGGGGTTCCCTGCTGGCACCCGCCTTGGCTGGCCAGGGGCCTGTGGGCTGGGGGCAGCTCCTGCATTGAGCATCTGCCCCCTGGTGGTCCGTGTGCATCGTAGCAACTGGTCATTCCACTGTTTGGTTGATTTGCATATTAGGCTTTTATTATATAGGATGATGTTTTATGATCTTTGGGGCCTTGCTGGCTAGGGAGGATGCCCCTCCCAGAGCCAGCCAATTCTCAGACAGTAAACACTTTGGGGGTGAGTTTTACACACACACAGCCACCCCCTTAGCTGATATACATCCAGCCAGTGCCCCTGCACTCCATCTGCCCAAGGCCAGATACCAGGCAACTAGGGGCAGCCCTGTCCTTGCTGTCCACCCCGCGCTGCTTTGCCCATGAAAACCCCGAAGGGCCGTGGCCGAGGCCTCTCCCTTGATCCTGTCTCCCTTCTGCTGTCCTGTGCTCCTCTCTGGCGTTCCTTTCATTTCTAGGGACTGTGAGTGACATTAAACTTTTCTTCAGTGGCACTGACCTGTTGTGGCTCAGTCACCTTTATAAATTAAGGGCAGGGCACATGTCACACACAGTGAGCGTGTGGGGACCAAGGAGGTGGACTGTAGCAGCCCCAGCAGCCCGCTCCCGGCCTCTCAGGCCCTGTGTGCCCATCCTGTGCCACCTCCCTACAGCTCCCATGGCCTCCTCCACAAAGACGTACTACACGTTCCACGGCATTGGTGGAGGGAGAACCAGGCCCTGTGTGAGGTGGGTCTCAGTCACTGTTTGCTTCTGATTGTTAAAGAGATTAAGGCAGAAGAAAAAGCTGCACGGACAGGTGTCCCATACAACTGGTGCCCGCCCCCCTTTTGGTGGCTCCCATCCCCAACGTCCACTTCCACCACCATCCGCCACACCTGAGCTTCTCCAGCGTCCAATAGTGGGTGGCCCCGTTCTTCTGGTCCTGCACCTCCACAGCCACGATGGTGCGGGGGAAGGGTCGCGTCTCTCGGTCTTTGGCAGCCTCTGGGGGCAGCAGGTCGGGAGGCAGTGGGGAGTAGAGTGTGTCCGTGAGAAGGACAAACTGGAACTGGACCTGTGACGGGCACAAGATGACCACCCGTCAGCCCTCTGGTGGGCGGGAGCCAGGGCACGGGAAGGGCTTCCTTCCCAATTCCCGTAATCATGCTGCACGTGGGAATCTCCCCACCCACCACCGGAGAGGGCTACACCTGCCCACCTGCCTGCCTACTGAGCCGGGAGCCACATCACCTCGGTCAGTTCCCTGCCTCCCTCCCACCCCTCCGCCCCCCACCCAGGGGCCCAGGCCGGGCAGCACCCCTCCACCATGCCCAGAGCAGAGGAGCCCAGTGACAAGTCCAGCCATAAGCAGGACAGGTGATACCCTCCTCCAAGACCGCCGGTGGGCCCACCTTCTTCTTGAGCTCCACGCTGATGGCGTTGGCCTCCTTGAGGAAGATAGCATTGCCCCAGAGCTGGTCCCGCAGCGACGTGAACTGGTACCACCTCCACTTCCGGAAGGCCCACAGCGCCAGCTCGCACTCCCTCTCCGTCCACGGGACTGTGGGGAGGGGCCGCACGGTCATCGAGGCCACGCCACAACATCCTGCTCTGGGTCAGGGCCAGGGGCTCTGTTCTGGGTCCCAAATCTCAGCCTAATTGTTCTGGGTGCTCGGAAAGAAGGAAACTGGCAGGAAGAAGTGATATGAGCCGTGTAATATGAAAGGCTCTTCGAGCCCCAAGGAGGGCAGTGCATGAGCATCGTCCTGAGCCATCCTGAGTCGGACTGAAGCTTGGTGAGGACTGAGGGGCCAGCAGGAAAATGACAGGCACACCGCCACGTGGGGAAGCAGTGGGACAGGGACTGCCCTGCACACCCTCTCCAGCTTACACCCTCTTTCCACCAGGAAGGGCCCAGGAAGGGCCAGTCCATGCTCCCAGGCTCAACCCCTCCTCCCAGCGACTCCTCCCACCCAGAGCCCTGCCTTTTGGAGCTCAAAGGGCCCTCATTGGGTAGATGAGTCCAGACAAGGGGAAACCAAGGTCACATCCGCACAAAGGTGCTAACCCGCAGACCAGAGATCAAGCAGGACATGAACTCCATGGCCACCCTTGGGCCCCCACAGCAGCATGAGGGCAGACAATGGGCCACCTAAGCAAATGACCCAAGGTGAGGAGCAGTGACCTTGTCCTGGGGCAGCTCCAGCCTCCAGGTGGTAGCACAGGGTGAATGGACACAGGACACCCTCACTGTCCTCCCCATGGTCCAGGCTGCTGCCTCCAGAACCCCATGTGTTTGCACATGCGTGTGCAGCTTGTGGGGTGCTTTCCTGCTGCAGCACAATCTCCCTGAATCCTGCCTCCCAGGGACAAGGCTTCTTCCCAAGGAATAGGCAGGACCCCAGGGCAAAGATGCAGACCAACTGACCCCAGGAAGTGCCCTGGGGGCTGCATGTACTTGGAGACCCAGGCCTTGCCCACCAGCAGGTTGGGGAGCCCTCACCTTCGTCCTCTGGCTCTTCCTCCTCCTCGTTCACTTCTGTGAAGTACCTGGACTCCATCTGCTTCTGCAGGGCCTCCAGCTTGCTCTCATAGTCCTAGCACAGAGCAGGGTCTGTGACTCCCCTGGGCCCCTCGGGCTGTGGGCCCCAGGCCTGCCCAGTGGGCCCAGACATGGACCAACACAGCGATGGCTTGGGGCAGCGGAGAGTAGGGCTGTTTGCAAAGCAGGGACCCGGCTCACCCCACCCAGGCATCGTGTGGGGCCTGGGGACCAGGGAGCGGCGCTCTCACCAGCCTTTGCTGCTCCAGCAGGTAGGTGGCCTCCTCCCGCTCCCGGCGGTACTGGTCCTCAAGCTCCTGGAGCCTGTGAGAGCA